CAAAAACCCCTTCTGATATTATCTAAATAAGAAAAAAAAGTGAATATAATTTATGTATCAATCAAATGTCATCCAAATAAAAGTGATAACTATTCATCAGTTAACTGTGACACAGAAACAACATACATTAAATATAAATTTTGGCAAGAAATTACTATTCATATAATGTAAGATAAATAAAATTAATAACTTAATTCTCAATAAACACATGTATATCATTAAGATGACAATTAGTTTGCTTAAAGGTCAATTAACTCAATAAACAATAGGTGTAAGTTAATTATGGTTGACTGATACATATATAGCAAGGATGGAGCTGGACGATCTAGACTTCACAGATGACCTGGCTCTTCTATCTCACACGCAACAACAAATATAGGAGAAGACGACCAGTGTAGCAGCAGCCTCAGCAGCAGAAAGTCTCAACATGCACCAGTCGAATCACACTTGACGCAGAAGCTTTGGAAAATGTAAAAACCTTTATATATTTGGGCAGCATCATTGATGAACACGGTGGATCTGATGCAGATGTGAAGGCGAGGATCGGCAAAGCAAGAGCAGCATATCTACAACTGAAGAACATCTGGAACTCAAAACAACTGTCAACCAACACCAAAGTCAGAATTTTCAACACAAATGTTAGTGTAGTTATACTGTATGAGGCGGAAACCTGGAGAACTAAGAAACCGATCATCCAGAAGATACAAGTGTTTATTAACGGTTGCCTACGCAAAATACTTCGGATCCAATCATTGAAAGTAAGGAAGCACTGGACAGCTATTTTTGTCTAGTATGGGATTCTAAAGCAGTATGCATCCACGACCCTACTGATTACTGAACAGAAGTGTTTACATAAATGCTTGTGTAAGTAGATAATTTCAGGTTTACACAATGAATTACATCTTGTGTAATATTTATCATTAAATCTCAAAAGAAATCAGATGCCAGTTTTGCAGGAGACATTTGGTGTGGAAATTACGTTTGAACTGATGTCTCGTCCAAGATTCTTCAAGGAAATAATCGAAGTCCAAATTGTCCAAGATAAATAAGGTCTATAACAAGTCCTTAGTAAACGCTTATAAATGCACGTTCAGAAGCTGATTTCATGTGTAGTAAGAATCTGAGTCATTTGGTGTGAAATACGGTCACAATGTTGCCTATGAAAGTGTACATATCTATACGTTATCACCACTAGAATATAGCGAACAAATGAAACATTCGTTTAAGGTCATATAATTCGTATTTACTGGTGGGTTAGGGTCAAGTGCATAAAATAGGTATGTTGCGAAAATCGTGTCAAAATGATATAGAATAATATGTGAAATGATACATTGTCAAAACCAAACTGCTAATTTACCTCATATACATTTAACAGGTCAACTTTCGTACTAAGACTACTAATCTGTAAGTGGAAATATACATTATCAAAACCAATGTTTAACATTATACTAATTATTAACTGTTTATGTTTTTAAATGTTGCACACAGTTCTCCACAATTGATTTATATCGGCCTCAAAGAGTCTTAGCTAAAATTATAGTTGAAGATACTTCAACACTTACTGATTTCCTTCAAGAAATCAACTAGTTAACCTTTGCTTTCCTTTTTTGTTATTTTAGATATCCCAAATCTAGTTTTGAATTTGATCACTTATTCTAAAGCATTCCAAATTGATCATAAGCCCTAAACTGGAAACTTTACTTAACATCTGATATTAGTTTGTGTGCAATTCATTGGTTCCATGTCAGTCCTCTGTTTATATAAAGAAATTTGTCAAACAAAACTGATAAGCCAGGAACTATAAATGTAGTAATTTTGTAAGAATAATAAACAAAACAACAAACTCTTTACTAACTTAAATCTCTCTTGAAGTTAATATTATGTCTTAAATAGAACAATTTGTTCTTAAAGTCAATTAATTAATGCTACTTAGTAAGTTACCAGCAATGTTTCAGTTTGCCTGTACCTCCTAATGCAGTTAAATTAATAGAACAGAAAGAACGATATTTAACACATACATTAGTGCAACTTCTATACCCTAACTTATATATTGTTCTTTATCCTAGTAACAGAATTCCTCACTATTTTCCCTATTTCGTTACATTATTGTTCAATTCAACTCCTCATTATTTCATACTATCATTTCATTTAAATCATCTGAGTCTAAATGACTTAATTCTTTATTTATAAATACCCTCAAACTAATTCCATTCACTAAACAGTTCTCGATCACTACACAACTTCTGTGATTCTTAGTCAATTCTTTAACTGACCTTCTAAAACCTTCTTTTGGATATAATTTATAATTATGATATTTGATTTAATCATTTCCACTTTCTCCACCTTTATTATCATTCCCTTACTATAATAATACACATTAACATTGAATATTAATTAAATTTATTTTGATAAACATGAGTTGAATTTCGTTTACAATTAGTAACATTCAAATATAGGATAGTGTAAGCAGCTGAAACTAACGTAAGCAATTCAATTCATGTCATTCGGCTTAAATTGTTGTTGCTCGCTTCGAGTCACTAAGTGAAACAATATGACATGGATTTTTAATAACTGGTTCAAAAAATACATCTCATTTTATATCTTCCATTGTAATTTCCTTTTTTATCTAAGCCTCGTTGAATTTACCCTACTAGTTAAATGCGTTCTAAGTTGGCGTTTGTTTCGTAATGCAGTTTGACGATTTCAGTAATGTTTATTCTATTCACTTCAAGCGTCTTTTCCTAATTGCCTCTTCACATGGAAGTTGGTTTGTTCTATTCCGCAGTAGGCTGTTGCTGATGGTATTCAGTCAACGGATGTTAAGCATCTTGCGTAGACAACTGTTTATAAATACTTGTACATTTTGATGATGGTTGTGGTGTTTCTCGAAGTTTCAGTTCTGTAAAGTAGAATTGTTTTGACATTTGTATTGAAGATTCTGATTTGATATTAGTTGGTAGTTATTTTAATTCCATATATTCTTCAACTGGAGGAATGATGTCCTTTCTTTGTCAATCCTCACCTTTACGTCTGCATACTATCCTTCTCGTTCATCGATGAGGCTTCCCAGGTGCGTCGAAGTTTTCATCTGTTCCAGAGTTTTCTATCAAGTGTTTTTAGGGTTGGTATCCTCCGTGTTATATTTGAGGATGTTGGTTTTTACTTTGTACATGTTGAGATCTACTGCTACACTGGGTTTTTTCATCGAATCTACTTGTTACCTCAATTGTCAAAACATATTTCGAAATAAATTGAAAATGAAGGAAATTAATTATATACCATCTTGAAATGAAAGTGAATCGTTGCTCATTTACTTAGTTCGAATTTTTTTCAACGATAACGGTTCTGAATACTATTCTTGGTTGAAACTTTAACCACTGCGATAAGTAAATAACTAGGAGGAATGATACACATTTCTAACTCATAAACAATTTGTTATTTAAAAACATAAATCCTAAACATTTATCACATCAAATCATAAGACAGATAGTCTTTATCAGTATGGAGTTGTGGAGATAGAGTTTCTATTGAAATCATGAATCGACCAATATTAGACCAACATCGCAAACTTGAAAACAATAGATGATCACCTCATTCTACTATGAGACTTCTTAGCAATGCACATTCACCACACCTCATGTACCACTCGAAATCGGCATATTCACCCTCACACGAATGCTCAACCACAAAACCACTGAACTCGCATCCATTGGTGTTAATGTCTAACTTCAACCAATCCACGATATTGCACAACCATATTCCATTGTGTTTTTTGTGGATAACTGCCTCACACCTATCACAGATTAACCGAACTGGTCACGATTTCTCATTAGAACTCTTAGAATTACCTTTCCACATCAATCACTTGTGTGCTCATGATAACTACCAGTATAGGGTTATGAAGTTTGTGAAGTTTTTATCGAGATCAATGTTAGACGACTGTTTCGCGCAATACAGTGGACTGATTGAAGTTAGACATTAACACCTGTTGATGCGGCTTGTAGTGATTGACAGCTGAAGTACTGGTGTGCGAGACTGAGTGTGTTGGGTTGGAGTTCCGCCGACTATGTAGTGGATGCGCACTTTTGAGTGGTTCCAGTGGTTATGTAACTTACATCATTTCATGATCTCAATAAAACCTCCTACACTACTCATACTTATCAGTATTTATTCAGAATTAATAAGAATAAATATTACTATCATTATTATTACTAGTATTATTATTAATGGTAATAAATTGAATAAAATTCTCAAATAATATGATATGTATTCTAAACCGCATAAACAATAATATTTTTTAACCCTATGAAATTATGTTTATAATATGAATGAATTTCGCTATTCAACTGGTTTAATAACATAAATTTACAATTCAAATGTATGAAACTATGTTGAATAATATGAAACATAGTCAATACTTTATTAATCTTTATAATTATGAAATAAATCTCATTATATTCAATATTCATTTATATAATTTATGTAATAACATATCACAGCGTAGATCTTGTTTTTTTAAATTAAAGTAGTTTTATGTATAGTACCGGAATTAAATTAATTTGTTCAAAGATTGGTAAGATGAAATAATGATAATATTGTCAATTTAATTGTCTTACAAACAAATGAGTGGGAGAGAACAAACCAGATCCTAGCGGAGGAAGAAAGCAGGAAAATGTGTTGGAAGTGGATAGGAAACGCATTGAGGAAAGCGACCAATTACGTCACAAGGCAAGCTCTTACTTAGAATCTTCAAGGCCAAAGGAGAAGAAGAGCAAAGAACACATTATGCTGAGAAATGAAGAGAAGCATGAGAAGAATGAACAATAGTTGTATAGAACTAGAAAGGAATATGCAGGATATAGTGGGTTGGAGAATGCTGGTTGGCAGCCTATGCTCCATTGGGAGTAATAGGGATAATTAAGTAAGTACAAACAAATTAATTGATAATATTCATACAATTACTGTTTATATGTATTTAACCACTGTGATGTTTCTTTTTTCTAATGGGATAGTGATGATGTTGATGATAAAATACATTCAATACTGAAAGGTGAATCAGTAGATTTACTTAAATTTATGTTATTATTATTATTAGTAGTAGTAGTATTATTATTAAAGCAACTGTTTAAGGTTTTGTTTTGGGTTTTTTGGATTTTATTAATATTTTGGTGAATAAGAGATTGTCTTGAAAAATTTGCACAGTGATTGGTAATCGAATTATCAGTTTGAAGTTGACTGTTCCACAAGTTAGCATCTTCTGTTGAATAGTTAGATTGTATGTTAGACCAAATTGAATGAAGATGTACAGGGATACTATTATTAGATCTTATATTGGAATGTCTGTAAAGGGATTGAAATTCAGAAGATAAATTCAAGCAATTTTCTGAAGTAGTGATGTTTGGAAATATTAGATTTTGCTTGAATTCTTCGATATATTTTGTAGATGGTGTTAAATCCAATTGTAGCTTATTATTTGAGATGGAATTTTCGCAATCATTGTGCTGAAAATTTAAGGATTTGGGATTTTTCTGCGTTGTTTTAGATGAAACAAGTTTAGAGGTATGATTTTGTCTAACTACTGTTTGCTTCTTTTTTAGAGATTGTATTCGTTTCTCCATCATTTTTCGTCTTCTTGTTTCCAGGCGACTTGCTTCCCGTTTAAGCAATTCATTTGGATCGATTGGTTCACCTGAACATGTAAGAAGTTGAGCATTATGAGCTGGCCTTCCAGGTCCTGCGTTAAATTTAGAAAGAAATTCTTAGCAAACATACCATAAATAAAATTTAATTGTAACGTATTACAAAACTAAATCATTTTTGATTAAATTTGTTAGATGATTGATCGTTGGTTTGCTAGACCGCATTATACTTTACCTGTGATTTTATGTAGGATGAAAAATTTGCAATTATCTATTTGCAGGGTAATAATGGTTTGAGTCATTATGTCAGTATGGGAAATTAATTCAGTTGTTTCCTTTATTCTGAAGTTTGTCGAATATGCATCTATGGGAAAGTTAGGATTGGTATATTTACAACGTCTATAAGATCTCACTAACCACCGTTTTCTACACTAAAAGATGACATGCCATTGATTTGGTTAGACCCGTTTTTGATTGATCGCACCTGATACTCTCGCTTTGTTCACTTGTACTATTTAAACTTAGCTTGATTTGATTTGGTTATTTGTTCTTTGAAGAAGTGGCCTACACTCATTGAGATATTACAAATAAATTATTTTTATTTATAACAGTCTACCCAATGCTCACTTTATTTGAAGTTACCAAGTCAAACCTCCGTAATGACACCTAAACCGTACCCGATCCTATACTGTAAATGATAAACGATATATCCTTAGAGAATGCTAATTCATATAAAAGATCCTTATTTTTAGGGAAACGAGAAATTTATCTAGAACAAAACTTTCCTGAAGTCCCAGTGATTTAAAAAGATTGTTTTATGACTGAAGGGAGTTGGCTTGCTCAACCTTGATTAGCATAAATTTCGTGCTAGTTAGGGCTCATCAGTAAGTTATGCCTCAAATCTTGAAAAAACTGATGTTTTATAATGGATTTGAACTATCATCACCCAGTTTCATAGTTTAAGACATTATTTGAGCTATTCAAGCCGTAACTGACCTACTGTGGAACTGAGATGTTTACAAATGGTTAATCACTGACTAGTGACCAGTGTTGGTTAGGTTAGTAGCCATATAACAACTTAATCGATAGAAACTCATCAGCTCTAAAGGATAAGACAAATATGACATTAGTCATAACTCAGTGATCAATCTACCATAAATTTTAAACAGTTTTATAATGGTTGAGTGAAATATGCTTCCATCAAAAATCTGATTATCATTTAATAAATTATTTATTACAGTTTTTAAGGAAACTAATCCCCATTAAAATAGTGTAATTCTTCGAATACTCTATAGATCATGAATTACTCATCAGTTCATTAAACCATTGACAATTAGAATTAATATTAAAGAACTAATTATTGTACTACTACCAGTTTGTCAAAAGTAATAACATTCTGATATTTAACCTGTACATCATTACTGTATAATAACAAGTTTTCAAATATTATAGGTAGAATAAAGAATGAAGGGTTATTCAAAGATATATAGCCTTCAACCTGTAATATCTTATTAATTGTTTGAATGTATAATTCATATTTAGGTTCATTTTATTCATTAATTAAACACTTAATAAGGATAATATTTTATTCAATCTAGTAATCTACCTTTCCGTGTATGTTCTCGTTTGCGCCATTTAGCCCTTCTATTTTGAAACCAAACCTTTGAAAACAAAGAAAAAAGAAAGATATGGAAAATTACTTATGACATATAATGTATGGGTTTGGAATAATAAGATATAATTAGTTGTTAGAAATTTATATATAAGTATCCTATATGTCATTACTGCATTTGCAATAAAGGGTCTAGTGTAAAACTAACTAAGTACTTACTTTTTGAATGTAAATTTTACTTGGATTATTTATCTAACATGATATCCTTGATAATAAGTGAAAAAAAGTGAAAATAATACTGAAAATTATGTCGAATTAAATTAACCCTAATTGGTGATATACAAACGATCCACACATGTTAATAAATCAGTTCTTATCATTAATCAAGTGGATCTGCAAAGCTGTCTGGAGAATGAGGATAATTGATGTTCCTTTTTTATGGAGGGTTATTTCTTTTTGAGGGGTCTGACATGGAAGTTGAGTTAGAGGTGGTTATAGAAACCTGGAAGTGTAACTGCAGGACCCAAGGGTAGCTGCATGAGGCTAGCCAGGCATGAAATTTTGAGAGAAGTTTTAAATGCGTTTGTTCTGTACTTTAAAGTCCTTGGTGACGGAGATGAAAATTTGTAGAGTTAAGTAAGATGTGACCTTTTAAACCCGATCTTTTCTAACCTCTCTCTTGCTGCTGTGAGAAGGTAGAATCCTTGTAGACGATGGTTATCCTATGGAACACCTTACATCCGTCACACTCTGGTAACGACAACAGTACAGCCTTTGTTTTGTACCCTGAGTTGATGCCTTCAGTCTTGTCGCTTTTCAACGGATTCGCATAACAAAGTAAAACCTAAAGCAACGAAGTTTCTAGACACCGTAGCTCGGCAAAGTCATCACCAACGGCATGACCAGCTACCACATCAGATGTATATAAATATGTATAAATATACATAAATTTTCTGATAAATAATAATCTCAAAGAGTTGCAAAATCCTTTGATTTTAATGTTTATCGCTGTATAATATCATGGCAACATTAATTATAATATAAAATATATCTGTCACGGAATAACATGTTGATTGAAGTTATTATTCTTTAAAGAAGGTGACCTGCATATTAAATAACGACAAAAGACAATCAATTTATAATTTATAGCGAAACAAATATCGTGTTAATTTTGGAAGAATATCAGGTGAATTGGATAAATTTCGATAATGTTTATTATGTTCTGTTGCTTTAAACTGTAAGACAGTTCAGAGAAATAAATTTCAACATAATGGTGTTCACTATTCAAGGAAATGAAATGTCTATTTGTTAAATCGCAAAATATATAACGAATGGGGGCAATAAAAGACTATTCAAAATAAAGTTAGTTGGTTAATACATGACAAAATATAATTCCTTTTTTAAAATCAATAACTCTCTTTGATCATAATGGATAACCTTTACATGGGGATATGTGTACTACCATCTAATGGTCGGGACGAACTGGTTGAAACTCGCTCAATAACCGTGATCAGTGATTGGACTCATCGTACAACATTCTTTAAAATCGATATCAGTAGACCAGATGCATTACTTCCTTATCTTCCGCTAGATCTTGAGTTCCAGCGTTTCTTCATAGATATTTTATTTTTATTTCGTTTACGTGAACCAAATTGTCACATTGTTAATGCTTCTGCAATTATTATAACTTTTTTGTCACTAATTGTGATGATTTGATTTGTCCCTAGCATATTCGTATAGCCTTTGAATAAATATGTCGATAAAACGCAAGAACCAAAACAATTCAACTGGATCAACTTACTTGAATACGGGATTCTGGTAAACCTAAACGTTGTGCCAACTCTTCTCGCACAATCATACTTGGATAATGACTAACACGGAAGACTAATTCTAATTCAGTCAACTGTTGTCCTGAAAAATTAGTTCGTGTTCGCCGTCGGCGTTTATTACCGTCATTTTCATTACTATCATTTTCATCCTCTTCTTCTTCTTCTTCATCATCATCATCATCATCGGTATCCTCCACCTCATCATCATTATCATACTGATTATCACTATCATCTATGTCATTTACATAAATGTTTGATTGAGTTCCAGATATGGAAACATTAATCTTTTCATTACACAATTTATCAGAAACAATCTTATTTCCTCCAACATATCCATCACTCTCAATATTATTATTAATATTATTCTTTACTTGATAATTATAATGTTCTGAATGTTGTAATTCATTATTTAATAGCGATGTTTGACAGGATTGTTTTTCTACTTCTACTACTACTTCTTCTTCTTCCTTCTGTTTCATTCTTTTATCCGAAGTCATTTCATTGAATTTGTATAAAATTTCTTTTGTTTTATTTTTATGCTTTATTGGTTTAGAATTTAATTTTGTGTATAAATTTGTTACGAAATTTGTTGATAAGTCTTTAGTGTTATTACAATTGTTTGTTAGATTCTTCTGTAAGTTTAATTTTAAATGATCTGATAAACAGATGTCTCCTCGTTCACCTATATTAGAGAAATATAAAAAAAAGAAGGAAATTTAATGTAAAAATTAACTGTATTAGAAACCAATGTGTAGAGACAATATTTCGTTTACTGATATTATAAATGGTAAGATCACTGAGTGGTGATCAACGTCATATATGTCAGGTCCTTCTTAGTACCGATCGAATCCTATTAACCAAGTAAATATATTTCAGTCCTATAGGAGGTCAGTTGCAGCCCGGATAGCTCAGTAGTAAAGTGTGTGACTGTGAAACTGGGTGACACGAAATTGAATCCGTTAAGGAGCAGCAGTTTCCTCAAGATTACAGGTACACCTTGCTGACGAGTGCCAAGTAGCACAAAACCTAGGTCCAGGGTTTAGTGTTGACTACCTCTAACCACCGTCTTATGGCAACATTTCAAATCCAAAAATTTATAACACAATAACATGTGGCTGTTGTGAAATCTGAGCAAATTCTTTTTAAATATATAACATCAACTAATTGGAAATGTAAAACGTCTGTTTGACCACACAAAGCTGATAAAGGTGATATGTCAGCAGGAATAAGATAAATGATTGAATTTGAATAATGGGTGTTCAATAAGATAGTTGACTCATATAACAAGCTAAAACTCGGTTAGGATTTTATGTCACTACAATCTTTTTATTTTTATTCAAAATAGTGTAGGATAGCTTGAAGATATCCATAATGAAGTATAAATCCTTTATTCCCGAGATAGTTTGTAGTATCTGGGGATAGTTTTTATTATATGCAGAAAAAATTGAAGGATCAATAATAATTAATAAGCACTAGGTAGCTGTATTGTTCTAATTTGAGAATTGTCAGAATTTGAACCACACTAGATTGTGTTCAGGACTTCTTGATCATCATTGGTTCAGTTTTCTGAAATTCGGTACTCGTGAGTTCGACTTTGAGACTGAACCGTCTTGGGAACAGAGAATAATTAATTACCCTATTCGTTGGTAAGTGAAGAGGAAGCCCTTTATCTAATTCATTCGAACGAAACTCATAAAGAATGGGAAAAGTACAATCATACCAAATTAGAGCACTGAAGTAAAATAAATGGAAATCGAGGAACATGTTAAAATCATAATAATTTTTGAGTAGAAGAGATGACAGTAATCTATAGATTAATCAAGAGTTTATGATTCATAAGATAAAGCAGATACATAATTAAACGTTAGTAATTTACAGATTTCAAATTAAGTGAAAAAATATCTCAAAAAATAGCTCTCATCTCTTCTTAATGAGTATCATATCTTCTACTGAGAGTAACTAGTTATATGTTTCTAAATTGAAATACGAGATTTCAAGATGACTCTCTTCATTACTAGATATAGAATGAGAGATGTAAAGATTGTTTTATTTCAAGTCAATAAAGTTGTAATCACTTTAATGGATTGTATTGATGAGTTCCAGCATAAAACAGAAAACATATTTAAAGTGTTTAAGTTTATTCTGAATTTTTCCATAAAAGATTACAGTTAAAATGAAAATAAACCTGTTGACACCAAAACTATTTGACAATTACATGAATACAATTTGGACTAATATGTTGTAATATGATTCCACCATTTTATTTAACAAACATAACTCTTTTTGATTGAGATCATGAACCGATTGATGTTAGACCATTATTGAAAATCTGATCTAACATCAATCAATTCATGATTTCAATCAAAAACTAAACAGTCTCCACAACCTCATACTGATAAACATAACTCTGTTAACTCTTTCTCAAATTTTATAAAACTATAGAATTCATACTTCTTTGAAGATCAGAACAGAGTTAATGCAGTTAATGATTGAAATTTATCATATCTGAGCGGTTTACATTGGTATTTCCTGCTTTATTTAAACTTAATTAATAACTAGCTAGTACTAATTAATTACCTTTTTTAATTTAAGTAGTAAATAAAATATGTTGACATCTATATAGAAGCATAAGAATCACAAATACATCTTCTTAAAATGTATTAGAAAGCATAAAATACATTTGTAAACGAATGATATTCATCTAGCTTAGTAATCCTATTGAATTTATTAATTAATAGATTATATATTCTGTAAGTCATTTTCACAAAAATGGTTGAAATAATTCAAGTAGCAATTTTAGCAGTACCATCTCTGTGTTTCACTTAAGAGGAATGAAATATGTACTGATATTTCGTTTACATTTCAATGTGACTACCATAAATAAGAATTTGTTCAACGTTTTTCACCTGGTCATCGAAATTTCCTTAAACTAGGAGTGAATGTCTCAGATATAGTGTCTTCAAAGAAGATTATTTCAAATTTGCTCACTCAGTCTTACTCTTTACATATACATTTCTACTTAACTTCAATTAATCTCATTGTTATATGTGGGCATTATTTTCTACTCTTCTTTTACGATATGTAATTATAAAAATCACACCTATTTGCGAATGTGATAACCTAGTAACACAATCAATTGTCTTCATTTAGTCATACATTTCAATCTACTGCTTACATTTATAATATGAGTAGATTCCGTTGACAGATTTAAGTTAGTAATTTCATTTAAATACATAACGCCTGGGGGATATATTATTGTATGTATGTGAAATAAATATGTATATATTTATATTTCCGTCTGTCAGTTATTCGAAAATTACGCAATCACTGGCTTGGTAGCAAAATCTGATTGGAAAGTTGACAGGCGAATATCCCGTGAAGTCAAATAAATTAATATTTACACAGGAAATTATTTTATTTCTTAATTTTTAAAATTCTTCCTTTCCTCATCATGTTATATATGAACATGGTATATAAGTATGATAAGACGTGTTCCTCTATATGCTATACTCTAAACATAAACACACACACATACATACATACTAATAAGCAAACAAATTCTTAATATTTCCATCTGTCATGATAGATTCATTTGTTCACCAAACTCCTTTCTCACATTGTTGTTGTGCATGCATGTCAAATCTTGATGAGTGATATGTGAAGAGTACAGAAAATTGAAGAAATATGGGTATGACAATTTAAATTATATGTTTGTTGATAAGTTCTTAACAATAAATTCTCTTTTTATCATCCAAGTAAATCATCAGACTACTGAAATACTTAATATAGTGTTAAATAAATATGAAACAATATTTATGTTAATATGTTCAATAAGAGAATTACTTACCGGGAATTCAATGAGACATGTTTATTTTTATTAAATAATATAAAAAACCTTATCAACAAAACGAAAACTTTCTTTTAAACAGGAAAACAAGACCCCTGGGGTATGTACAACCAATTGTAAACTATTATTTGATTACATAATACAAAATCAGTTTGAAATACTAATGAAAAAACTCAAATAATTATATTTTAAGTTCATTATAATTTTAGAACCATAACATTCAACTATAATAAAAAAATGATAATTATTCCATCATTTAAATATTAATCTCTTTAGTAAACTTGTATCACAGGAAATTTGAATGCAATAAAAACAGAGTTTCTAGTAACCATTATGGTAACGAAAAATATATTATGTTTCTTTTCTACCATAGGCTTAAGTGAAAAAATATAGTCACTGCTCTTATTCGAATTGAGTCCTTATGATTGAATTTACTGGTAAACATAGATTGCGAATGAACTATGTAGCAACTGAGACGCTAATAACAAAATATACCAACTACGCAATTTTTGACTATTACAATTCCACTACCCAAAACATGAAAAAGTGGTGAATAGGTTCAAGTCTCAGTGAGATCGACACTTTCTGAGTTGAAGGTTGTTGAACATTTAAATGATTTTACCAAGTTTAAATTTCCTTATATAATCTAGAATATTTAACCTCATTGATAGATCAGAATTGAGTTTAAGTCTTCTCAGAAAAGTGAACAAATAAGTTAATCGGGGTCACTCAATGCTCAATAACTTTAGGATATTTAGTAGGGAATTTCGGGTTCAAACTTCTATACTTTTACAACTGTAATCCAGTTATGTGTTTTTTAGTGTCACTTGAGTAATTAACAGAATTCAAATGATAATTTATTCAATCATATCTGAATAGATTGTATAGTTTCGATTTACCAGTCGTTTGTTAATTAATACAATAGCAATTATGATTTAGCTACATTCACTAAGCTTTTTAATAATTAATGAATATATAATGTAAATACTTATTCATTCTTAACCCTTAACTAATTTGATTAAATTTTGAAGGAAAGTATGTATTTAAAGCCTAGCAACAGTTCATTATAAATTTTGAAAAATTGATCTAGCGTAAATTTTCAAAAATTGACATTTTTTTTCTGTTCAAAAATACTCTTTTATTTTCCAGTTGAATTGTTAGATCGGATAATTTCTTTTTTCAAATTATTATTCAAAAGAAAGAAAAACCATAAAATAAAGGAAATCAGTCAAGAGAAACATTATTTTCTCTTCATTCTCTTCCCGTTCCAGCCTCCCCCGCTCCAAAGTAATTAGAGAAAAAAAACAACAGAAAAGTGTATACAATTTAGATCATTTTTAATTATTTCCATTTTTCAAAACAGAGAGGGGAGGGTATATAGAGTAGAAAACAGAAGAAATAACAGGATAGAAAACATTCTGATGACATTGTTGATAGTCAAACTAATTCGTGTTCTCTTTAAATTTTTGACGCATCATGGTTACAATCCGTTTAGCCTACTAATTTTTGTTATCAATTTAAGATATTTTCTTTGCGTCTTAGTAAAAAGGTACTAGATTCTAGTTTGTTATGAGTTCAGATTACCACATATCATTTAATGTACTCACATTAAATGTATATACGATGGTAACAAAATGTTATGGTTGATATGTGAATGACTACTTTAAGTTGTACAGTGTAACGGATTAATTAAAGGATTACACATTTTATTCTATTAATATATGGTGAGGGCGGACCCTCAGGTAGAATATCTTAGATCAAGAGTCTATTTTATTAGCATTCATCTTCAAAATGTTTGCATAAAAATGAAATGTAAATGATTTTTTCGTGGGATCTAGGTAATACAAGCAATATTTTACTACGGAACCATTGCAATTAATACTGATGTTCTTGAGTAATGGTTTGGATTATTTTTTCTGGTAAGCGTTTTTTTTGGATTGGAAAAGACGATGGAAATGGATAGGACATACATTACGCAAATCGTCAAACTGCATCACGAGGCAAGCGCTAACTTGGAATCCTGAAGGGAGGCGAAAAAGAGGAAGGCCAAAGAACACATTGCGTCGGATAATAGAAGCAGATATGAAAACGATGAATTACAACTGGACGGAGCTAGAAAGGATTGCCCAGGACAGGGTTGGATGGAGAATGCTGGTGAGCGACGTATGCTCCTTCGTGAGGAGTAACAGGCGTAAGTAAGTAAGTAAGTTCTTGAGTAATGAACTATGTCATATCGTCGACGTTACTGTCACCAGAAATTTACAAACCCAAAAATAAAGTTATAATTACTATCCTTTACTGAAGTGTTGGAAGTTCAAATTTCAATGAAAGTTTGAAATTTTGTGATACAAATACATTAAATTCATTATTTGGATAAGCTACTTGCTAAATTGCCATTGATTAAGATGGTTAGTATGTGTAACACGCCTACCTCTACGTGCAGTGATAAGTGATGTAGATGTTGGGGAAAAACTAGTAATGGTTAACTCGAGACGTGGTACAAATCCATGAAGACAATAACTGTTGAACTGCACCATGAAAATAGGTCCAAGCTATCTAGTTGGAGCCTCTGTGACAGTAGTAACCAATGCATTGGGATTTTAAATAACATGGCTCAGAATCAATCTTTATGACGTAAATAAATTGACTTTTTTTCTCCCCTTCGATCCAAAGTTTCTGAAATCTTTTCATCCCGTTAACTTTCCTCTCTAATCTTGTCTCCTATGATTAATCTTTACTATTAGGGCTAATGCTGTTACTGTCTCTAACACTCCGTGATTTGTTGTGATAATTTCCTCTAGCTGTTGGTGTAGCAACTTTAACGTACACATGTTACAGATTCTACGTTAGACACGACTGCACAAATAAATGTCACATATTTTCGCTGAATAGATATATTGTTGTTGGTTTTGAGAAAATCATTAAGTCATTTTATATCTTATTTAATTTACATGATATATACCTATATCTACAATGTGTTTGATTTACAATTTTGTAAACATTAAGCTGTAAAAGTTCATTCAGATGTTGTAATTTTCCCATTTTAAGTGTGTGTATATGTGTGTTTAAGAAAATGATCAGTATCTTCAAAATTTCCAATTATCAAGTTATTTCATGAAGTTCGAACGAATTCGAAATGAGAAGTTATGACGATTCACGTTCCAAAATCATAATCCTAATACTTTAAATACAATATTGAGCCCAAAATTATCAGGTCTTATTAACGGTCCAATAGACTTCTATTCGATGTTTACCGTCCCAATGTTTATTCACTTGATACGATTTATTAATGGAATAATTTTTTGAATTTCATTTGTCATATTTTATACAATTAAGTGTTTTAAGTGATATTATTTCAAACTTATAGTTTCTGCTTTATAACCTTACAAACAATGTGAAATTTAACTGTAATTCAACAGCGGGAGTTTTATCTTCTTCCATGATTGGATTTCTATTAGAAGTGCTAACGTGGTATGGCAACTCGAAATGATGTACGTACGTACGAAGTTCTACGCTGTTACTGACTGACTAACTGAGAAGTACGAAAACTCCAAATAAAGATGACATTTAAATTGTCCTTATGGTAATACACAGTTATGTAAACAATAAAATCAATTTTCATAGATATTTAATTCATGAACTGAACTTAGTTAGATCACTATTTGAAAACCTGGAAGCACCAGACGGTTGTTTCATTCTAATATGAGAATCCTTTGCAGCACACGTCCATCGAAAGTCCTGATTTCAACTGCAGGATGCGAAGTCATGAGCTCACATTCCTAAGTAGTCACATACTAGGACGAAATGACAGTTCAGTGTATCTAGGTTTTTACTTAGTGATCTAAGTAAGATGAGCTCGTTAATAAAAAAAACCCATGAAAATTATAACCTCCACAAGACCCCATACTGATAAAATCAATTGTAAAAAACTATCTTATCTATTTTAGTTTATTTAAATTTAATATTAGTGTTCCAATCTGCCTGTTTACACATTAAAATGTATTATTATTGACCTTATTCATTTTTTAAAAAGGTTAATTATAGTGCAGTTAGAAGAACAGATAATATACATGTGAGGAATTGATTTGAAGTCGAGCTATTTATACTTAGCATCATATCTGTTCATTATAGAATCAACAGTTCACTATGATAGTAAACAAAAAAATATTTCATACAATTAAAGGCTTGTACAAACATAACATTTAAATGAAATAAATTCACTTATTAGACTGAGTGAAACTGGCTTATAATTAAGGCTTATTTTATTTTAAACGGTACTCACTGATTATTTTATGAAATATAATCAAGTTAGTTTGTTTTTTTGTTACTGTGCTCTTTTCATATTATTTGTAATCACTATATCCTTATTGTTATGTTACAATATACAGAAGTACATTTAATATAATCACAATTACATAGTAATATTAACCTGAACATTAGAATTTCACCTATTGACCGTTATTTAATAGTGTTATCGTTTTTGATTATAATAAGTAACAATCATAATTAACTAGATATCTTATATTATAGAATATAATAGTCAAAAATAATTATTACTTACCTGTTTGAACTTGTTCTAAACTTATATGATTTAATATACTTTGACAAGTTTCTAATTGATGGTTATTAACTGAATTATTTTTCATTTCATTTATTATTGATAATATCCAAGTATTGTTCTGTAAATATAATGTAATTGATAGGATTAAATATAAACTATTAATAATATAAAAGAAATAAATAAAATATTCTAATTTTTGTAAGCAATGATGGATAGTGGCTAGCAGTGGAATCTAGAACGCGCGTTTCGGCCTATTTAGGACTCGTCAGCTGGATGTACCTTCATCTCAGAATTAATGTTCAGTCTTAAACCTCAATGGAAAGATACAAGTCAAAACAATACCAAGTGAAAATATTCTAATTATTATTGACACTTACAAACCGAATAGACATATATATATATACTTATATTTTGATTTCAGAATAGAGTATGGTTGAAAAGATTGTTGGATTATACATGTACTTTATTAATTGAATTCATAAGTCAATCGAAGCTAGATCATCATGGAAAACTCGTGGAGCGGGATCGTGGATGATTACTGCTGAAGAGTCCCATAATAGGATGAAACGGCCGTCCAGTGCTTCCATGTTTACCATGGTGGTCTAGTTTCAATTGACTCATAAATTCTACTATTAAATTACTACAATATTCACAAAATCACTCTCTGAATATGTACTTTAATTGCTCAATTATTAATTAATAGTATTTGTATACTCCATTAACGACTAATTTAGAAATGGACAGTTGAAATACTTCACAGATACTATGATTATTGAAGTTCAATAATATGTGAAGTAAAATAATTGTATTCGATCACATTAAATAATAATCATCATACGTCTTATGAACTGACTGGGATTGGAAATATCAACTTAATTGCATAAAGGTATTGTATTATAAAAGAAATCTAAAGAGAGCGGGCTCAAAACTGTTTGAAATTATGAGTATACACTGAAGAGGAATGCTAAATGAGAATGGATGGATGTCCAGCGCTTCTGTGTTTCCAGTGATGTTGATGATGATCAGTTACAAATTGTCTTCATAAGTCGCCCAAATATCATAAATATACTAGGCAGAATTGGATAGTGGTTGGCAGTGGAGTTCAGGATGCAACTTGGGACTTGTTAGCTAGATGTACCTGAACCTAACTTTTAATGTTCATGTTGAGACTCGAACCTAGTATTTTTCGCCTCGAATTATATAGTTTGTACTGTTAATATAGAAACAATAGAAATACAAGTGGAATAGTTTTGTTGTAGGGATTAAAAACAGTATTCCTGAGGATATAGTGGTATAGTGGTCAAACTTCTGAAAATAAAATTCGTGAATTTACATTTTATACTTCTTCCTAGATAGTATTCTATTTCTGTTGATCTTAGGACTTTTAAATCGCACTATCTCCAAAAGACTAGGATGTCGAATGAAAGCCTGATTCGTCGTCAGATTCAAAGCAGAGATTCTGGAAATCTTTATACTGTCATCAAAATTTATGATGAATCAACTTGGCTAAGTAGGATGGTCCCCAAATAAGAAAAAAGAAGCAATATAACGAATTGATCAAGGTTAGACATGTAAATAATTAGACTTTAATTCTGCAGTTTGGATGTATTACATCCATTACAAAGACTGAAGGTATCTGGACCAATCTTTGATCAGTTGGTGGGTGCTAACTGATGGGAAGATATATTAACAGTCCAGTGGTCACTTAATGTTTGGCTTAAGTTAATCAACGGTGAAAAACATTCTTCATGTTGATAAATCTTCATAACTAATTAGAAATATTTGTGTTATTTGAAAAAATATTATAATCAACATCAAGCTTTAGTCCTGAAATCACCATGTAAGTAAGATATTACTATTTCTTGAATATCAAAAGTGACTTTCCCAAACACTTTAAGATAAATGCAATTCATCTTCGGGTGCAACAAAGTTTACACTTTTGTTATTTGAAGAGATCTGTCAAAAATAATTGATGATATTTAATAGTGACTTAACAGAATAATTTACTTATAAACGTAGTGGAAGCCAAGATCTATTGCAATTCTTCTTCAAGTTTTAGTTGAATATTTACCTTTTGAATGAAAGTATACACAGTTTAATGATTTACATATGAGTTGGAGAACAATGAGTTAAGCAGTTCACAGGAAATAATGTTCAATATGTCTCTTCACATTAATTTCCAGATTATTTGTCCCGACTTATTTGTATTTACTGTAAAGAATATTAAATGACAACCTCTTATGTGAGTTTTCAAGTCAATACTTATACATAACAAGCAGTCGTGTGTATTAGGATGGCAATTTTTGCTAAAGGTAAATTTGAGATGATGCTCAGGCAGACAATTCAAATGTACCAACCTGTCAAAATAATATTTAAAATAACACTCTACCATCCCATATCCTAGAATAAACCTATTAGTAGAGTGAATGACAGTAAACTTAGTTTCATAGCCTAGAGGTATATTTTATTGTAACTATTGAAAAATATGATATAAGGAGAAATATGACCATTCTTCTCAAATCTTTCTGAAAATCGCTATTGTCAAACTTTTAATTTCATTCATCATTCAGTGAAAATAAGTTTTCAGTAAATGATATGAGTTCTTCTGTTTATTTGAAACTATTAACCAGTATTTTATTTCATCCATAATTTTGAAATCACATTGTCATCACGATTGTAGATCAGTGAATTTAAATGATATGCCTCTAAAAAGATGAGTATTTTCATTTTATTTTTCTTCTGGTGTTTCTGCTCGTTTTCTATTATGTATTTTACTGTTGCATCACTTCTGAACTTATTAATTTTACCATAATCTATAATCCATAGTTGAGTTAAATTGGTCACCCTAAATAATGTAATTAAAACCGTCATATATTGATGCCCGATTCAAACTTCTTCCAATTTTTCCTTATATTCATTGATGTATAATTAAATTGTATCAATTTTCTTGTTAAAATCCAATTCCTTAAGTCAATTAAAATATGAATCTAGGAACTATATTTTCGAAATAAGTTTAATGATCAATACATAATTAACTAGCATATATATATATATATATATATTTTATTGTTCGATTGTGATATTTTCAATGTCCGATCATTGATAAAAGTATTTTATTCATTTTTTTTCCAGGTATGGTATAATAATGAAACCAACAAAGAGGCGTCACATAAATCATTCAATTTTTAGGATACTGAGGCTGGGATATTGCCCGGGTGCCCAAACCGAAGCAGGTGGTTTTATTAGGATGCCATGCCCCGAGCCTTTGATCTGAAGGTCTAATCCACAAGGCAGTGAAGCAACATCTGAAGATGCAGTCCCACGGTAGCCGGCGACCAACAATAGGTTCATACACCATTTGTTGCCTTAGGATCCAGGAGCTTATGTACACCATCGGTTTGGAATCAGGGTTTATCAACTCCCCTAGACGAATCTTCCATATTCACCAACCCGATTAAAGCGCCGGACATTCGCTTTTCATCCTCTCAGTTTCGTACACAACAGTAATGCCGCGAGAATGCAGTAAGTAGGACTTCCCTGGTAGTGGTTGTATGCACGTGGCCATGTGAGAGCAGTTTGAGAGGAAAAGCTGACTCTCTCCACTCTCGGCCGTACCAATGCATGTATATTATCTTAAGTCTCTAACCCATAATTTTAATTATGATATAAATCAGAATCAAAGTATCATATGAATTTTAAAAGTAAAAATGAAGTAAAACATTGACTAACAGTTGTAGATTATTAAAAGAACTTTCATCCTCTACAGAAGGTTTATTTTCATCAAATCAATAGTTTAATAATAAAAATTTTCAAAAAAAAGAAATTGATTAGAGTTAGATTCAAGCTTTTGTCTTCAAAGAACAATCAGAAAATGATTTTTTTTATTTTGAAAATCACTACTGATTTATTGAAGGATAAATATAAACAGAAATGAATCATTTATGAATGGTATTTCATTACAGATTGATACAAGTTAAGTAATGTATGAAAATTCTGTGACCTCATTCAAGTATCAGTGTAAGGATTTTTTTGGGTCATGTTAGTTAGCTCATTTACTTTACACTACTGTATTGTAATCAAGTGGTAAACTATATTCAGCTTTTAGTTAAATGAAAAACAATTGCATTGAATGTTCATTGAATGTCACAAATGAAAATTGTTTCATTTTATTTATTTAGCTGATTGAATAGATTGGATATTTTATTTGATAATCTAGTTTATTAAGAGACTAATATTGGAACATCCCCATCATATTAAAAGACTGGTGATGAGGATATTTAAGCAATCTAGTTTGAAGTTGGATGCCGGCCCAGTGGTCTAGAGGTAAAGCGTTCGCATGTGAGACCGTTGAGTTTTGGGTTCGAATCCCACGGGTGAGGTTGTGGATGCGCATTGCTGAAGAGTCCCATACTAGAACAAAACAGCCGTCCAATGCATCCAGGATTCCTATGGTAGTCTAGCTTCAATTGACTCATGAATCCAACCACTAAATCTAGTTTATGCTTATCTAATCGTAATTTTAGTAATAAAAAAACAATTTGGACCAAACTGATAGTAGAAAGGCTTTAGTTATTTATTGTTATAAATTTTTGTACGGAAATAGTCATTCCAATTTAGATAAGATTTCCCATAAATGTTTCATATTTTAAAATTTTAATCAAAGTTTAGTATGTTTTAGCATTATCCTATCAATATATCAATTGACACTTCACTATAAATGAACTTAAACTATTAAAGGTCAGACCACTAACATTTGATATTTTATTTATTAAATAAACTATAGATATACCACTTACTACTAATTATTAGAATAAACCCAAAAATAATCACTCTAGTAAGGGAAATAAGGTCAAACTCACGAGTCAATCTAAGGTAGACCAACACTGAAAACATGGAAGTAGTAGACGGTCGTTTCGTCCCAGCATAGGACTCGTCAACAGTGCGCGTCCACGATCCCAGTCACGAGAATTGAACCTAGGACCTTCAGTCTCACGAATAAACGCTTAACCTCTAGACCATTGAGCCGGGATCTCATACTAGGATGAAACGGCTGTCCAGTGCTTTCAAATTTTCAGTGGTGATCTAGCTTAGACTGATTAGTGAATTCAAATCTCCACAAATCTTCAAAAATTCATAAGAAATAAGATTACTTCATGGCATTTTTCTGTAAACATTGATAAAATGTTGTTTAAAACACATCTTGACATAATGTTTATATGTAACTCATTATAAATAGATATCAGATAACATTAATAATAATTGTTATCATCAATAATCGCAAGAAGAATTGAATAACTTACATTTGTAAATTGATTAAAGTATTGCTCTTGAAATATTTTCATAACATTATCCAAATCTATTGTATCATAAGTCTTATGTTCATAAGCTTTATCACATATAGGTCTATTAATAATAGAATGATTTTCTAACGGTGAATGATTGAATATTGTTGTCAATTTATTTAATTGTTCTGTTGTAATCAATTTCTTATAATCATTATCTAAATATGTATTTAAAGAAATAGTCATAGCATCTGAACTAAGAATATTATTTTCATTAAATGTTTTATTCATTATTAGAATTAATGTTAAGAAATGTATAAGTTACTTTTTTAAATAATTTAAGAATTATATACACAAAAAACTTCCCTTTTATTTTCAAATGTGATGATTTCACTGATCGTTCAAACTATCCATTCTCATCCAACCAACCAACCACCCACCCCACCACACCCCACCCACCCACCAACCTAATTATCTTAACACAATCCCTTAACTTCAAAAGTTCCCATTTTACTTCATCCCTTAACAGCCAACTTATTTGTTTACTATTAATAGATTGTTTTTCACTTAATGTAAATCATTAAATGTGTTAGATTTAATTTCTATTTTCAATCAAATAATTTAACAGGTTGAAAAATTATAAATAAACCAATCAAAAATATTCTAGAAGATGAAATTTATTTTCTTTCTTTTAACTACCTTATTGGTTGTCATACCGATGTATACAAATATTTATTAAAATAATCATAGGGATAAACTCAATATAAATAATGCCTTACTTTCTTCTCCCTTTAATCTAATCTAAATGAATTTTTTTATATCTCATTGATTAAATGTTTGAATATAATTTTATATAAAATAATTCTATCAATTTTAGTAATCTACTTCAGTAGTACATTTTTATTTTTATACTTGTTGTTTATATCCTTCCATTGATGGTTTAAGACTGTAACTGATCTATCTCTTATTGGTATATATGCATCCTGTGAGAATTGTCTTAAGTCAAAAACATCATCTCTGCTTATAATATCTCACTATTGTAGTTTAGATTTGTAAATATTATATCGGGTGCTCTGAGTTGCGTTTACTAGTTTAACTGCATTATGAATTAGTTGTTTAGGAAGTAATCAATTACTATATATTTTTCGGCACTTGTTTATCAAGGAATTCGGCACGAGGATACCTTGTTTTTATTCTCTCTTTTTACATTTTTATATTATTCGTGAGAATAACCTATGACTTCGTGGAAAATATTTTTCGGTAGAAGTAATTCAGATTCTGAACTACTTATCTGTATAATGTAAAGTTGATTTAAAGCCCAGAATATTGACGTATGGATGATTGTTGAGTCACTACAAATTCTGTTATTAAGAAGAACCTTGAAAGCGCTTTCCGAGGATAGGTGAGAATCGACACAGCAAACAAAGGAAGGAATTGGTTTTATTTTACGAACAGATTGTTGTAAATTATTCTACAGTCTGGAAAATTTGCTGGTAAAATAATTTATGTAGAGAGAAAATTTAGGATGAGATTGTTTCACTAGTGACAAAGAGTTACGGAATTTGCAGTTAATAGTTTCTTCATAATGAATTGCTTCATTGAATGTAAAAGACAGTTTATTAAGTATTCTGAAGAAAAAGATTAGATTTGGTTTGAGTTTGCTCTTCCACAAAGAGTCGATTCCAAGTGTATTATATCTGGACTTATAATTTAAGGTGCAATCAATCCCAAGAATGTGAAATGTAAATCGTCTGTGAAAGGATTCCAGTCTTAATTTATCCTTCATCAAAACACCCCTAAGTATAAACGTGCAGTGTCGAACACACTTTGTCAACGAAATTATGTGACCTGTTGTCATAGAAGTTATGAATTATGCAACCCATATGACGTTGGGACTTGGATGTCCGTTTCGAGACCTGTTCTGAGAAGGATAAATTGTAGGAATACATGATTCCTAAGTCTACTACTGTGTATAACTTGGAAAACAGGTCATCCAAGATTGATTCTTGAGGAATCCATGTTGAGAATCAATGATAATTTTCGCAGTGAGCAAATAATTGTAGAGTCTGTCGCCAAAAATTTTCTTCCTAATCCTAGAGATCACTGGAGTAATATTTATGGGCCAATAATTGTTTATGTCAGTTTTATCTCCAGATTTGTAACGTTTTATGATATGTGAGGTTTTCCAACAGTAAGGGTATGCGCCTGTCTCCAGAGAGAGAGAGAGAGAATAAAGAGCTTTAGAAGAGGTAGTGGAATATCAAATGCAATATATTTGTGGATAAAGGATGAAATCCCGGCTACTCTATAGCTGTTTAAAATCTAAAGAGAGTTTGTAGCTTAACCAATTTTTGGTAAGTGAAAGAAATAGATTTTATTGAGTTACTAGTCACATACATGACTTTTGAAATGTTGCCACTGAAAAGTTTTGTAATGGTTTCAGAGTCGTTTATAAATGTGCCACTGTGTAAGATGCATGGTACATCAACATTTTGAGTTGCTCTAACGTATTTGTCAAGAAGGAAAATTAAGTTTTGCAGTTTTAAGCTATTATTAAGTGCTAACAACTCTTCATTAATGGCTTTTAACCTATCCTTTTCTTTAGTTTGATTAAAAATTACAGTTACTTGTGTAAATGCAGTGAAATCATCTGAATTAAAGTAACGTTTCTGTAGGCTTCTTAATTTATTACGATATTAAATTAGTTTGAATAATTCGTTAGGCCTACTAAACCTTTTAAATGTTTTAAAATACACCAGTCAATTCCATCTGATAAATAACTGGTCTTTTTAATTAACGTTCATGCAGAACTAGAATGCTGTTTCCACAATAACTAGGGTAATGAATACTTTAACCAGTAGGTTGTGATTATAAATATAATAAGCAGATAGTTAGATTTTTTCCAATTCAAATGCGTTGATGTTTGCCGGAAATTTAAACCGGAACCTTCGGTCACACGCGTGATTCCCGCCTATGATGACGTGGATGCGCGCTGTTGAAGAGTCCCATACTAGGATGAGACGGCCGTACAGCACTTCCAGGTTTTCAGTGATGGTCTAACTAAGCTAGCTTCATGATTTCAATGAAACAAAAGCTACTGTGATACGTTCGTTGTTATCTAAGAGCTCAGTTGTTTAACGTCCTACTTATTTGGATAGATATTGTTACATTAATTTAATCTACAAGGGACAATGTTAGTTTAAAATATCTGTAGCAAGGAAAGTTTATTCTTCTTACATTTTCACTAGTAAAGTGAGATATAGCTACGTGTTTAAGCGCTTTCAAGACAGATGATGGGTAAACATTGATATAACGAACAAATTGCGGGAAACCATTCCATAGTCTGGAAAATTTACCGGTAAAGTAAATCATATAGAGGGAAGATTTGGAATGAGATTGTTTCACTAATGGAATAGAGTTATAAATGATACAACTAGGTATTTCTGTACATTAGATTGTATTAGTGGGTGTAAAAGATAGTCCATCTAGTACTTTGAAGAAAAATATTAAATTGGCTTACGGTCCCTGATACAATAAACGGTCGAGTCAAAGTTTAATGAACCTGGGTTTGTTGTCACGGTAAGATTGAGAAGTGCCCATTGCTGCTGGATATATTCCAACCTAATTTATTCTTTGTGCAAACATCAATTAGAATGAAAGTACTGTATTCTGGGGTGATGGAACATTGAAGAACTTGAGTCATTCTAATAGAGGTAACTAGAAATTTGTTTTAAAACCCGTTCTGAGAATGACAAATTGTGGGAATATCCGAGTCGAAAGTCTACTACTGCATGAAACCTAAATACCACTTTAACAGCTACAGTAAAGTCGAAATTGAGAAAGCGATCATGAAAGTAAATCCGTCCATATTTAACCGTGCTATGTTCGAAATTCCATTCTGAACACCACTAGGCAACCTTATTGAACTCTTTACAGATAGTTTTCGGTATAGTTCGACTCATGCGACAGAAGTGATCATACTAATTCAAGATTGTTTGTATACAGAAAAAATTTATCAACGCAAAAATAATTGAAGAAGTCGTTCATATAAGCTAAAGTAAGTTAAAATATCATTTCACAATGAAAATAACCTTCATGAAGTGTAAATGTAGTAATTATTTCTATATTCTTGAATCTAGTTTTTAATAATATTTTTTATAGTTTCATTAAATGATTTTAATTAGGACAAGAAGAATGTAAATAAATGGCTAATAACATCGAAAATTTAGTTACATAATTTTCTCCTACATTCAAACTATATATTTACTAAATTATTCATTCATGAACAATATACTATTCATTAGAATTCAGTAGTAACTAAATAATCCTCTTTTGATAGAAAAATAACACAAGTAATAATATCAGAAGGGGTTTCTTGGAGATTTTAGAAATTTCACTGGTTGAAATCATGAGTCAATTGAAGCTAGACCACCATGGAAAACCTGGAAGTAATGGACGGCCGTTCCACCCTAGTATGGGACTCCTCAACAGTGCGCATCCGCGACCCCGCACCACGCGAAATTCGGACCCAGGACCTATCAGTCTCACACCAGGCGCTTAACCAACTAAACCACTGGGCCAGCACCCGACACTGTTTATGTCCCATACCAGGGTGAAACGACCATCCAGTGCTTCCAGGTTTTCCATGGTGGTCTAGTTTCAATTGACTCATGATTTCAATCAGACAAATAATATTAACAAATTACTCATTAATTTAATAGTTGAGATCACGAGTCATTTGAAGCTAGACCACCTTATGAAACCTAGGAGCACTGGACGGCTGTTTCGTCTTACTATGGGACTCCCCAGAATTACTCTTTAGTTTTTATTAGAGAAAATTATTTATTTTCCATTTTCATACAGTAATTACCAATAAGATACAATTGTGTAAAATCTTAAAACTAACTTCTCTCAAAGTATACCCCCCGCAAAAAAATAGAACAAAAAAATATAAAATAAACACAAAGCGATGGGAAGAATTAAAATGGATAAAAAGATCTAATTAATTTTGATGGATTTTTGTTCTCTGATCTGAATAGAAATCTATCTGAAGTTTGTGCTAATGGCGTCGTTCAGAAGAACTATGAAAGCTTCACAACCAAACCATTCATTTCAGACAATAAAATTCCATCAAAATCATCCACCTAAGCTACAAATCTTCTCCACCATCTCAAAGATCTAATTAAATTGCTTAAACTAATCTCTCCTTTTCAATATATCTTATTGAATCATTTTCAAAAACAAAACCAACAAAAGAAAAATCGAGGCATCCTTTTTTCTTTTCTGTCCAT